CTATTATTTATCTGTCTAATCTATCATACTATCTATCATCTATTATCAATCATCTATCAATCTATCAATCATCATATTATCTATCTATCTATCTATCTATCTATCTATCTATCATCTATCTATCTATCTATCTATCATCTATCTATCAACTACGTGACCATCCATCCATCTTCCTCTTTCTATCTGTCTGCCTGCCTACCTGCCTATCTCTTTATCTACTACCTACCTACGTATCTCTACCTACTCCTCTTTATCAACCTACCTAGTTACCTATCTCTCTACCTCTTTATCCATCTATTATCTATTTTTTCTCTCCCTACCTACCTCTCTACTACCTCTGTCTCTCTCTCTCTCTCTACCTACCTCTCTCTCTTGTTCTCTCAATGGAGACAACTGTGACTTAACTTCCAGTCCTCCCTTAAGCGAACCAGGCAGCAAATTCCAGCAGCTTCTCTTCGACTGGGCCTGGCCCAGATCAGCAGCAAAAACAACTCTGTGTGTGTGTGTGTGTGTGTGTGTGTGTGTGTGTGTGTGTTAGATATGCTTTCCAAAGAATGTGTTCACCCCCGACTCTTCCTCCCTGCCGGCTGGCTGAGGCCTCCTACGGCAAGCAGAGCAGAAACGCAACACTCGTTTTTTGGCGGGTGTAGCCAGAAGAGGGCCGGACAGCCGCCTCTTCCCTCCGCTGCTTCTCAGAGAGGACCGCCAGGCCAAGCCCTTCGTCCTTCGGCGACAAACACAATTCCTTTTCAAAAGGAGGCTGGCTTGGAGACGGGGAGGAAGCCGGGGAAACAGGAAACATCTGGCCGACGGGCAGAAGGGGCTCACCAACACGGCCATGATTCCTTCAAGGTCAGAGGCAGCAGAGAAGCCAAAAAACGGTGGCTGCACAACTCGAGGGTAGGGCGGCAAAGCGTATCTTGACCAAGCCAACCAACGAAATATTTATTTGCGGTTCTAAAACTGGTCTTACAGCAAACAAGGGTGGAGTTGTTTCTTTTTTGACAGCTCTGCCGTTGCAATAACGCACCCCAGCCCGTATCCAGTCCCTGGTATCGTTCGGCGGTGTCTGGAGCTGAGCATGGAGGGGGGTGAAGTGACTTAAGGGGCTGGAGTGGCCAGGTGACTTCAGTGGAGGTGGACAGTGGACGTTTTGGAGAGAGCGGCAGGCGGTGGAAACAGCCAAGTCAATCGCTGTAGCTGTTCAGTCAGCAACGTGGCTGTTCAGTGAATTGGGCTTCCCACTGGACTTTGCTGGTTAGGTGGTCACAAAAGGGATTAAACGGGACCCCGTCATAAATAGGAACACATGATTAAGGGCAGGGGTGTCAAACTCAAGGCCTATGAGCTGGAGCTGGCCCACCGGGTGGTTAAATCCAGGGCTGGCTTGGAAATATCAAAGGACTGGCCTGTGGTGCCTCGGCCGGCCAGCCAAAACAGACCATGGGAGAGGCATGTTTTCGGCCTACATGGCCCCCTGCAGCACACTGCCAGCCGAAAACAGGCCACGTGGAGGCCCCGCAAGGCCTGTTTATCACCTCCCTGGTGTCCAGCAGCATTCTGCTGGCTGAAAATGCAGCCTGTTTTCGACTGGCAGAGTGCTGCAGGAGGACTGGATTACAATTAAAGGAGCCTCGGTGGCGCAGTGGTGAGAGTGCAGTACTGCAGGCTACTTCTGCTGACTGCCGGCTGCCTGCAATTTGGCAGATTGAATCCCACCAGGCTCAAGGTCGACTCAGCCTTCCGTCCTTCAGATGTGGGTAAAATGAGGACCCAGATTGTTGGGGGCGAGAGGCTGATTCTTTAAAACCACTTAGAGGGCTGGGAAGCACTAAAAAGTGGTATATAAGTCTAAGAGCTATTGCCATCTACATCTATCTATCTATCTATCTATCTATCTATCTATCTATCTATCTATCTATCTATCTATCTATCTATCTACTTACTTGGCTGCCTGCCTGCCTGCCTATCAGCCGTTGTGCCTCAGTGGTCAGAATACAGTATTGCAGGCTAATTCTGCCCACTGGCAGCAGTTCGAATCTCACCAGGCTCAAGGTTGACTCAGCCTTCCGTCCTTCCGAGGTGGGTAAAATGAGGACCCAGAT